TCTTTGGCATAGTTTATCTTCATTTTGTTGGAGTCTGGATCTGAATCTGTTTTCTTCATTCCCTCTGGTTCCTGTACTAATTTTTTGCTGTGGGAAACTGGTTTCCCTGTTTTTTTCTGTCTTCCCATCATTGTCTTGGTGTTGTTACTGTCCCTGTACTGTGTGCAATTAAGTATTTTCTAGCTTGTAATATAATCAATGGTAATATTTAGAATGGAAGGGTGAGAGAGATGGAAAGCAAGAAGTTAAGAAAAGGGAAAAACAATAAACAGACAAGAAGGAGAAAATAGAACAGGGACATAGACCAAGAAAGTTTCAAAGTATAAACAGAAGCATTACGTGTAACTATAATCGAGCAGTAAGCTTGTCCCCGCGTCTTCCCAAGCCATCTGGGTGCGGGCGAGTGGTGCCCCGGGGCCCTCCTTGTTTCTCCTTTTAATGTGAAGTGGAGATTCTCTGCGCAGGCTGGAGGTGTGGAGGGGTCAAAGTTTTGCCTCTTCTTGGTGATTTTGCCTGCAAAGTGTGTCTCCAGCGACTCTCCAAGATTTCACTATAGGAGGCTCGCTTTCTGCTTCCTCCCTCTAGCTGCCATCTTTCAGGAAGCTCCTCCCTTGGCTCTTATTCTGATGATTACCTCCAGACTTCTAGGTGATTGTGTCAGTTCCACTGTCATTTGTTTTTAAATTTTTTGGCAGTACTGGGGTTTGAACTGAGGGCCTCACACTTCCTAGGCAGGTGCTCTAACTCTTGAGCCAGGTCCCCAGCTCTACTATCTCTAGAATCATGTATTTTGGATATTACCTCCTGACTTCCCATTATGATGAGGACTTTTCCTCTAGTCACACCTTTCATTCCACCTCCATCTTCTCAGTATAATTATATCACTATTTTTGCTTAAATCCCACATTTGAGTTTTATAATTATGGCCACATAATACTGTTGAGTGAATAGCAATTGTTTCATTTTTTATTTGAATTTGTAGCTAAATTTTCCCACTCCCATCACTAACCACTATAAAACAACATTCGTACAATTTTCCAGAGTCAACTCTAAATTCTCTACCATTTTCTTTTTCTCCAGCTCCCCACCCCCAGATCCCCTTTGACACACCTCCTTCTAGAGATCACTAACCTCCTACTCCAATCTAAACTGGTGGCAATGGCTCCACCAGGGGACTCTGCTTTGTGGCCCTTGAGATAAGACCTTCCTTTTCCTCACCCCAGGAAGCCTCCTGAGCTCCCCTTCTGCACTGGATTTCTGTCTCTTGGGTACCATGTCTTCTTTCTTCACACTTGCTAAGCAGGTGCTCTACCACTTGAGCCATGCCTCCAGCCCTTTTTGCTCTAGTCATATTTGAGATAGGGTCTCACTGGACCACAATCCTATTTTAAGCTTCCTATTGTAACTGGAATAATAGGTGCTTGCCACACCCAGAATCTTCCCCTCCCCACATTGAGATGGGGTCTCGAAAACTTTTTTTGCCCAGACAGACCTTGAACTACAATCCTCCCAATCTCAGCCTCTCAAGTAGTTAGGATTACAGGTGTGAGCCTCTGGCACCCAGCTTATGTCTTCTTTCTTGATTGACCCATTTGTCTTCATGGAGCACACACTCCCTTAGCTTCCTGAAAAACGTGCAAGAAAGGTAAACTTTTGGGGACTTTGAGTATCTGAAAACATCTTTAGTCTACCTTCATCAATTAGAGTTTGGTTTAGAATTCTAGGCTGAAATGATTTCCACTTAAAGTTCTCATACCTTTGTCCCAGGATCTTTTAGGAAGATCTTTCTGAAAATTTTATAATCTTGTCATTATTCCTGATTTTCTGAAATTTGAGCCATTCAACCTGGAGAATTGTCTTCATTTTTTCATCAGTAGACCCCTCTCTATTTTCACTCCATGACAAGAACTCCCGCTAGTCAGATATTGAGTCTCCTGGACTTATCCTCACTTTTCCTCATCTTTTATCTCCTACAATGCAGACTGGGTCCTTTTTTATTCTCTATTGCATGAGATCACTGTAATGTTAATTTCTATGAGGTATACCTGATTTGATCTCCAAAAATCACTTTTCTTATTTTTGTTTTTAATAAACACACATATAGGCCTATTCCAGTGCGTGCTTGATAGAGTCAGCATTGCATGATTTTTCTTGTCCTTTTTTGCATCATGATGAAAATTGGTCATTATCAAAATTATGTCCTTATCAACATTTTAAAGACACACACCATATTGGGAAACAGAGCAACATCTTGTATATTTTCTTTATGTAGCATTTCTATCACTGTTCCTTTGCCTCTCACCAGAGGTTAATATGTCAAATGAATGATTGAAGAGCTATTGTGTCTGATGCCATGAGCATTATCTAGTTAGTCTTCTAGTTTTTAAATAGGTAGAACTCAAGGTAAAATGTGAAGTCTTAAAAAATGCAGATATAAAATATTGTCACTATTTTTTCAATGTACTATTTTCTCTTGTCTGCCTTAGAATATCATGGTCGTCTCTCTTTCCTAATTCCTTTCTACCTTTGTTTTGATCTTTTTCTTTCTTATTGGACATTGCCCATCCCTATTGAGCATCCGGTCCTAAAAGTTCATTGGAAGCTCTTTGTAAAAAGGCTTTCATTGTACCTTAATTTCCACTAGTACCCCCTAAGCCCATTGGGCAATTCAATTTCCCCAGAGGACACTCCACAGACTCCTGCTTCCTGCTTAGAACCCATCTGCCGCCATGGGGTGTCTATGTGTATTTCATTTAATCCCCATTTTCTATCTGGACCCTCTTCTCCCATAAGTTTCTCAGAGAAAATGCCTCCTGTTTCTTATAGAACTGTCTATGGCCCTGGACTTAGAGAGGCCAGGATAGGAGCTACTTATTACATCAACTCTTTGCTTTCATCTCTCTCTAGTCCCACCTTCCCTAGTGTTCAGGAACTGTAACCTCCATTTCTGAGAACTTCAAGGCTCTTCAAGGAAATATGACTTGCTTCTTGTTGATATCTCCTGTGGCAGGCATTTCAACATGATCAGTTCTGCTCAGTCATTTACCCTTTTTCAACCCATTTCTGCTTGTATACAGACTTGGATTGCTAACTTCCCCTTGTTTCATGGAGGATTGAGTTTGTATAGATTTTCTTGTCTCCCTTGAGAGTAAGTTTCAAGAGAAGAGGGACAGAAACATCTTTATTTCATGATATTAAAATCACTAGTCTACATAAAGTAGATACCAAGTTTATATTAAGTCTATATTATCTTTTTATCCTCATAACTCTTACCACTGTCATTCATAGAATTCAAGTTCAGAGAGGTTAAGTTCTTTGCCAAGGTCAAAGTTGAAAAATGATTAAGAAACCATATTTGGCCAAGGGCAAACCCATTCTTTCTCTTACTCTCTTTGTCTCTCATCATGCTGAAATCAAAGGAGGGTGGCAAAGTATAACCAAACTTGGATGAGTACCTGAAAGTACAGTTTGAGGATGTCCTTAGAGGCAGTCTGTTATTCAAAGATATCAAGAAGAAACAAGGAATATGAGAAGTTGAGGCTGCATGACTCACAGGGAACCCCAAGCAGACCATGGAGAAGGTGAGATGGTTTAGTCCTAAGGGAACTTGGGACAGAAATTGGTTTCCAAATATGCAGAAAAAAAGGTCAGGCAGGCCTATGGTGTCACAGAGAAATGTTCTTGTGGGCAATTAAATTAAACTTATCCCAAAATGTCAGTGTCTTTCAGATCCTCAGCTATTCCTGGCTAGCAGTACAGGGGCTTCTAATGTTCCAGACCTGGCTTTCATCATGGGGGTCAGCTTCCAGGTGACCAACAGTGTTGATAAGAGAGCAGGTTAGAACTGACAATGCTGAGCCATCCTGTATGTGCATAGTTCATATTTTAGACCAAACATTATATCCTTATACTACAACCCATTTAATTTCATCTTGTTAGAGTTTGTTAAAGGATAGCACACAGGTTTCATTTCACAGATCAACTTGTCAATGACGACTGCCTGGAGCACCATAAGCAGAGTAACTCTGGCTCTGTCCAGGCTTGGGGGAGTGGAATGCCACAGTTGATTAGGGATGCCTGCCATGGGTATAGACAAGAGGGTTAAATAGCATGTGCTATCCAGTGGGGTATCACTCAGCCATAAAGAAGAATGAGATTATGTCACTTTCAGAAAAGTGGATGGAACTGGTGATTATCATGCTAAGCAAAATAAGTCAGACTCAGAAAGACAAATATTTTCTCCCATATGAGGAATCTAGAATTTTTTAAAAAAGGACATAAACATAAAAGGGCAACTCTTGGAGGGAACAACAGGAAGAGGAAGAGAAAAAGAGAGGATGATGGGTGGGTAAATATGATCAAAGTATATTATATGAAAATGTTATAATAAAATTCATTTTTAAAAAATTTAAAGAGTATGGGCTATCAACCAATCCATACAGTCTTCTCTTTCCAGATGTGTGGCTTCCATAATGTGATCAGAATGCTCTCAAGGCTGTAATTAAAGTCATTGATCAGCATGGACAAGACAGACCCAAGGAAATGCCAATAGGTGCAGTGTTGAGACTGACTTCCAGGTATGAAGCCCTGAGTTCAATCCCCAGTACCACCAAAATAATAAAGAATAAATAGACAGATGCACACCACTTCAAGCAGCTCATAGTTTTATCATAAAATACAAACTTTCTAAAATTAAGTGTCTTATTTCTATTTTACCAACAACAACAAAAACAAAAATCACTCGTGTTAGCTAAATACAGGTGCACATGAGGTTGGACAAGTATGAACAAGAGGGCGTGTCTGTGGTTTATGCTGTGTGTGAGGGGGCTGTGCATGAGTGTTGGTTAATAGAAGTTTCTGGTCTTGCTGTTTTCTGTTTTTGACCTGGCTGGAACCTTGGTTTTCCAAACTTCATACCAAGCTGTTGCAGAATCCAAAATTCCAGAGCCCTGAGCCCTGATCCAAGGGCCAAGTCAGGAGGGAGAAAAAGATAAGGAGGTCTAAAAATTTATGCCATTCCCACTGGAGGAAAAATAGGGGCTGTTCATCAGGGGCCCACCAGATGTCGAGTTGAACCTAGAAGAGAGAAAAGATGGATACCATGATGGAATTCCTGATGTTATTGGAGAGATTAGGAAAAAATAATATATTAATTTTGTGGCTGTCAAAGACAACAAAGACCATGACAGGCTTGGAAGATGAAAGTTTTAGTATAATAAGAAAACCTTGACTCTGGGAAAATAAAATATTAAAAAGACATAATTAGAGAATAATAAAGAACTGCTTATGCCACTAACTTGGATCAGTAAGCCCCAGGAGCCTGGAAGGATTAGTTCTACAGAGCCTATGCTCACTCCATGCCAGGACCAAAGAGCAGGAAATCTCTATATCTGAACACTGTACCTATATGCTTGTGTCTACCCTACCTGCCTTGGAGAACCAGAGGAGTTCTCTCAGGCAAGTCCCTAATATCAGAGAATACAGGAGCTTATCCTGGCATTAGATCTTAGAATCTCAAGATAACCTCCTCACTCACCAGCACCTAACCCTTCATTTCAACACTTGTCTAAGAAGTAACCTGGAGACATGACCAAGGGCCTCGGGTTTTGACAAGAAGATGTGTGAGCCTTGGCTTCTTAGAGCAGAAATATTCTTTTCTGCTTTTTCTCCTAGCATACTCCTACTCATACTTCAAAATAGAGTTCAAAAACCTTCTCCTCTGTGAAGCCTTCCCTGACCTCTGCAGATGGAACAATTTACTCACACTTCTGGGATGTGATTGTAATTTCTTCACCCATCTGCTAGGATACTTTGAAGGGGAACAGAGCTCAATACAAACTGCAGCTGAGCAAATGGCTAGATTTAGTCTAATCCAGGGATTCTCAAATTCTTTTTAGCTGGGCAGATGCATATTGCAGAAGAGATTCACCACATTCAAGGAACCCTCCGTGAATTGACAAAACACAAAGTGGCGGGGGGTGGGGGTCAGGGCAGGAGTGGGAAGATGCGCTGATTTGTAATGCTCTGCTAGTAACAGAAGCTGTCACTCACTGGGAGCATCTATGAACCAGCTAGGCTCTGAGTTATGTTGCATCCCCTTCTCACTAAAATAACTTCTAGGAGAACAGGGACAGTATGTGGTCTGTTCACCAGTCTACTATTACCACCCAGTCCAGCCCTGGCACAAGGTAGATGCCTAGTGGACAACTAAGGCTAGCAGAAACCATACCTCTTTTTCTCTCCTTCAGAAATCATGTGGACATATAAATAATTGAAAATTATGTTAGCCAGGAATGGTAGCTCACATCTATAATCCCAGCACTCAGGCAGTGGAGACAGGAAGATCACAAGTTCAAGCCCAGCCTAGCCTACTTAGAGAGACCCTATTTGAAAAAAACCAAGGGCTGGGGATGCAGCTCAGTGGTAGAGCACTTGCCTAGCATATGTAGGCCCTGGGTTCAATCCTCAGCACTGGGAGGAAAAAATGATGCTATAAGAATATCCTGAATTCTATTCTAATTTATAAAGTAAAGGCCATAACTCATAACAATTATCAATAACAAATTACTCATGACACACCTTGCATCTGATTGCCACACCTCATACATCTAGCCCTTCCTTGTTTTCAACTTATAATCAGATCAACTGCCAAAGATATGGTCCAGGCAGGATTTATACTAGAGGGCCAGGAGAAAGTACAGTATGGGTGGACTAAGATCAACAAAGAGCAGGAGGAGAAGGAAGGAGAAAGGAGGAGGAAAAAAGTGGAAGGAAGAGAAGCTAGAGCAGCTTCTTGAGTGTGATGAACACGTGTCCTGGCTTGACTGGGACAGAGGATACAATGCTATTTCCAGTGTAATTATTACTCAACCCCTGTAAGCTCTCAAACTCATTATTGCTTAGAAGATAAATTGTGTGGCTCGTTCTCTCATTTTGCTTACATCTTGGCTCATGACACCTCCCTTGATTTTTCCTCCCCTGTTCCTAGCATCTGTGTTGCAGGTTGCATGTTTGTCTGCTTAGCTACTGTTGTCTATCCCCACCCCCAAAAGTGAGCTCCTTGAGAGAAGGAAACACTGTCTTGTTCACTCCAGATTCCCAGTGCCTTGCACAGTGGCAGGCACAAAAGGATGCTCCATGTGTTTTTCCATTTATGTTTGTTTTTTGTTGTTGTTGTTGGTAGGTTGGGGGGGTTGTTTGTTTGTTTTGAGGGTTTTATTGTTTTGTTTTGTTTTGTTTTTGGAGACAAGGTCTTACCAAATAACCCAGGCTCCCCTGGAATTCCCAATCCTCTTGCCTCTCAAGTGCCAATCAGTTTGTTTTGAATGAACAATCATCCCCCATCCTTTGGGGATGCACGATGGCATCCTTTACACCATTTTTCTGACTCCATCATCCTGGTCTTGCCAACCTTTCAGGTTGCCATTTCTCCAGCTGACTGCCCCTCCTCACTCATCACCCTCCTCTTTGTGTCCACTAGCTCTGGCTCACCCTGGGCTCCTTCCCTCTTCTCCGGCTGCTCCTTCCTTAGGCTCAGACCACTCCTGCTCCTTCCTCCCACTCTCTCTGTGCCTCTGCAGAGTCCAGGCCTCAGCGCTCTGCTCTTACAGCTTCCAACCAGTGCTTCCCAGCACCTCAGGACCACCCTCCCTTCCAGTGATGGCCAGTTGCCTTCTGCATCCATCATGCCTCTTCCTGATTCCAGAATCACAGCATGGAATGTGCAGGTCTGCCAGCCTACAGGTAGCTGGATCCCTCTGCATTCTACCTATTCTCACCTCCAGGAAGGTGCTAAGCTCTTGTACAGATCCCACAGTCACCTCCAGACTGTACCTTCTCGCTCCTGTTTTCTCCCCTCTGTCCATCAATTCACTGCGATGGGCACAAATCATTGGATCCCCAGGCCTAGCAATCAAAATCCTTTAATAATTCAATCCCCACCACCCCCTTCCAATCCAACTTTCCACCTTTTTCAGGGACAAATCTAATACTTCCACCAGACACCTTTCTCCCCAGGCTTCCAACTTGCCCAGCACCCTCCCTGCTGAGGGCCTTCCTCCTCCTGCCTGGAGTGTCTTCTCCACTCCCATTCACTGGGGTCTCCCCTGGCTGCAGGGTCCTGCCTCTGGCCTTGGACCACTTTGATGGTCTTCACTTAGTGCCCATGTCTCATCTGCTCTCAGTGCTCCGAAAGGAAGCAGAGTATGTCCTATTCATTTACGGGTCCCCTGCAGGTTAAGTTCAAATTAACTCCATGAATTAATATGGCACTTTCTGGGGTGTATTGGGTGCCACACATCATGCTGTGTTCTACAAAAAGAATGAAGAAAGGGAGGGAGAGAAGGAAGGAGGGAGGGAGGGAGGGAGGGGAGGAAAACGGAAAGACATAAAAGGAGTTGTGGATATCATGTTCAAATAACACTATCAACTACCGTCTTGAACATTCCCCATACACCCTAGGAAATTAAATGATCTAAGAATTCCAACAGTTAAGAAATCTGTTTATCTTTGTTTCTCACAGCTTTTCCCAAACAGATCTGACTACAGAAGCCCTCTTTCTAGCACTTACCCCTTTCAGCAAGATATTCAGGGGGAAATACCAATTGAAAAGATGAGAGTCTGGGGACACAGGGTTGGCACTACTGGGAAGGCTCTGTGATGAACAGGTGGGAAGACAGGAGCCTATGTCAGCTTAGGGAGTTTGGTCCTAATCCTAGAAACTGAGTTTCTCAAAGTGGGGCATACATTGTGCCCGGGAACCTCGGATCCATAGGGGTGACATGTTACCACCCACCCCTTGGATCATCAATATTAGCTGAAGATTTGGCGAATGGGAATGAGTGACTACTTATCATTATATTAAAATAAACACGAATTTGTTACTAAACAGCATGCAAAATTTGAGTGGAATTTTCAACCTACACTTTGAGTGTGTGTTGGCTGTTTTCTAAGCCCTCAGATGGACCCAGGAAATGTAATTCTTCTCTGCTGTTTGAGGGACTTTGGTGACAAGGCACGAGAAGCTCTGATAAGCAGTGGAAGGCCATTTGCCAGGGCCCATCAGGAAGTCAATGGGATGTGTGGGAGATTAGCTTGGCAAGAACTCAGGGTGAAGCCAGTGGGGGTGGAAGCCATAGAAAATTACCTGGCCGTGTCCTGTTGTATACCAAGCAAATGGGTAAAGGCAACGCGTCATGCTCCACCACTTGTCACCACTCATGGAGTGAGGTGCCCATTGCTTCTAACTGAGCAGTTGAAGTTCTGCAACCAGACTACAAGGCTGCAGCCTGAATGGACCTACAAAAGGGTCCTCCCAGGACTCAGGCCCCACTCACCTCCATACCAGGTCCCTCCAGGAGCCACACAGCCACTGACCACAGTGGCTATTCTTACCACAGCCATGGGACAAACATAGCAAGAAAGGCTATGCAAAGACCTCCCACTCACCTCCCTGCTCTGGCAGCTCTCTGCACACAGCTCTCCCCAAGTGGGCTGAAGACTTACCCATATCCCTGGGGGAAGAGGTACTGTGACCCATCTCCGGCCAAGGGTGAAGGGTCTCGGAGATTGGTGGACAGCTTCTGAGGTGTCCTCTGAGGGTATGGATAGTTGGGCTGAACGAAGGGGACATAGCTCAACAGGGGAGTGTAGGAAGAGCGGAAAATCTGCTGGCCCATTTGTTGTGGGTTGTATGGTGTCACCTGCAGGTCAGAAAGGAGAAAGGGGTAAAGTCACCATATCCCAGCCCTGACCCTCACCCCAACCACCATCCCTCTACCTCTATACCCTTAGTGACTGTTGAGTACATGGAACAATATGTTGGGAAGGAAAAAGGCCAGGGCTCAACTTCTGTAGTTGAGCTAAGCCTCTGTTTCCTTATCTGCAAAATGGGCAGAAATTGTCTACATTATTGTACATTTATTCATATTTATTAATAACAGTTAAATATTATTTATTTATTAAATATTATTTTCTCTCTCTTCCTTGACTCCCTGCCTTTCTGTCAATAACCATTTCCAAAGCCCCTTGTTCATTTTTAAGGTTTTTATTATACTCCCACCCACACAACCCCCTGCCCAAAACCTGCTGCTATTTACACAACTCTGGCTTTGATCTCAGGATCTCAACAGATTCTAAGACAGTTCTGCCCAGTGGAAATTCCTGCAATGACCAAAATGTTCTACCTTTGCTACCCAATATAGTAACCTCCAGACACCCATGGCCATTGAGCACTGACATCTGGCTAGTGTGAATGAGGAATGAGTTATGAATTTTACTCAATTGTAATTCATTTAAATTTAAATAGTCACACATGGCTAGTGGCTACCATGTTGGGTAAACAAGAGATAGGGCAAAAGAGGGTAACAGGGCTCAGCTTAAACCCAAGGGAAAGACAAGAATTAAGTGGGATTTCCAGAACTTGGAACAAGCCCCCGCTAAGAACTGGGGCTCCCATTCTCTCTGACAAGGCGGAGACTTAACCTGTTTTATTTAACGTCATTTCTCCAGCTCCAAGATGGTGGTGGCGATTGGTGGCTGCTCAACAAACACCGATTAAACACATGAATGCAAGAAAGGGAGAGAGGTAGCAGGGAGAATGAGAAGAGCACTAAGCATCTGCTTGGGTGCCTGTGGAGGGAGTGCAATACTTCATGAGCGCTGCATTCTACTACTGACAGCTGCAAATATCAGAGAACCTTTTCTTGCATGGAGCTGACATCTATCCTCTTGTGTGTGGAAGGGAGTTTCAGTCAAAACTGAGGAAGCTTTTGGATTTCCATTCTAACAAGAGCATGGAGCTGCAGTGCTGAGGGATTTAGCACTGGACAAGCCCCCTCTCGCCCTGCACTCCTGTATCTAATAAAAACACACTCCAGCTAGTGCATACTGAGTGCTCAGGCTGTGCCAGGCCCACACATAGGTTCTCCCATCAAGCCTCCAAACAGGCTTGTGAGGTAGGGCCCTTATCATTCCCATTTTGGAGACAGATAAAATGAGGTCCAGAGAAGTAAAGTATTTGCTCAAGGAGTGTCTCCAGTTCTGAGTATCATGGGAGCCCAGAGATTGTACCCTGTGCTAGCCTGGCTCCTCTGTGCCCTACCCTGGTCCTTGCTTTCATCCCCTCAAGCAGAAAGGATGTAGGGCCTGGTAATGCTGGACACAGGCACCAAAACCCAAGAGGATGAGCATGCCAGGAGAGGATGCAGGCAGGTACCTCCCAGGATAGACCCTGTGGGGCCCATGGCAGAAAATACCCCTGGTCTCCATGGTGGGAGGAAGTGACTGGACCTGCCTGGCAGAGACTGGAATGGAAGAGCTGGGTCCCAGAGCTCATGCAAGCTCTGTTCAGCAATGTACCCAAGATTCCAGAGAGTTGAAAAAAGCCATCAAACAGAGCTCTATATGCTGCTCTGGAACTGTCTCCAAATATACACTTGTCTGACAAGAGCAACAGAACAGTGTGCCCGAAATGCTGCATTTCTACGGATGTGTTTATATAAATAGATGTCACTGGAAGGATATGTAAAAAAAAAAACCAGTAAACAGTAATGGCCTCTAAGTTTTAAAAATTTTTATAATGTTCTTATATTTCTTTTTTTCAGATATACATGCATAAGCTCAAGTATGTACACACACACACACACACACACACACACACAAAGTAATTGTCCAAAAAGACTCTCTTAGAGCCAGGCAGGAGGTGTCACTGTTGGTGGGTGGATGTGATGTGACTTGAGGCAGCTTCCCTCCTCCCTACTTCACCTCGGGATTTGAGGGCTCCTTCTGCTGATGAAGCAGTCCTGGCCCAACTAACAAAGTAGCCTATACCTATGGGTCCTCTCTACTCTCTAGAACATCCTGGCACATTTCAGGTAGAGGTACAGTTTGCAAAGAAAGGGTAGGGCTCCCTTGGGCGAGAGAAAGGCAGGAGAGTCTGACATTCAGCTGTGGGGTTGTCTGTCTGCCCATGTATGAGGTGCAAGACCAACTGACCAACCTGGGAATGTGGCAGACCCAAAACCTCTGTATCCACTTTTGTTTCTGTTGGTATATGTGTGTCTGTACATGTCTGCTCAGGTGAATAACTGCACCTATATTTCTTTCTGCCTCTCTCTCCCTCCCTCCCTCCATGTGGGGTGTATATGTGTGTGTGTGTGTGCGCGCGTGCGTGTGTTTTGGTTTGTTAAGACAGGGTCTCACTGTGAAGCCTAGGCTGTCCTTGAACTTGAGATCCTCCTGCCTCAGCATCCCAGGCTGAGCTCCCAGGTTTGAGCCACTACACCTGGCTCTGATACTACACTTTTGTGTATCTGTGCTTAGGAGGTGGTAAAACACAGTGACTGGGAGTACCAGGCTGCCAAAGACAGAGCCAGTTCTGCCTCTGTTACTGTCCAGTGGGTTGTCATCCCCACCGACCTGTGGAAGTAGTCTCGCCCCATTCAGCAAATAAAACTAAAGGACGACAAGTGAAATATGAACAACAAATACATTTTTAGCATAAGTATGTCTCATGCAATATTTGAGACATACTTGTATTTGTTGTTGATCTGAAATTCAAATTTCACTGGGTATCCTATATTTTAAGTATCAAGCATACATGACAGGAATGACTTCCCAGCCCTACTGATGAGGGCAGAGCTGGGGAGATTTGCCTTGGCCAACGGAAGGAGGTAGATGTTACCATGCACCAGTTCTACACTCATGGCCTCTTATACTCCTGCCACTGACCAGGGGAGGAGCAGAAGCTCCTGCATCTTCATCCCAGGCCCAAGGAAGAGATACAAGAAACAGGCCTGAACTTGATGCGCAACCCAGTTTAGCTGGCCCTCAGACCTGGAAAACAGAACTAAAGATTCATTGTTGAAAGTCCCTGAGACATTGAGGCTATTTGCAGACACAGCAAACCCTAATTTTTATGTGAACTTATGACCTTGAACATGTTTACACCTGTGTCTCACTTTCCTCCTCTATAACCTATCGCGCAGGGGTAGAGAGTTAGTGCAAGGAAAGCCTTTAGAGAAGGCTTTGGCATGCCAAGAGCTCCACTAAATGACAGCTGTTATCATCACCTATGGACATTGGTTTGTGTTTCAGCACCCACACTGGTATGCGTGTCTGTACTCTGGAGCCAACGGTGACCAGAAAGTATAGCTGGTGACCAGCTAGATAAGGACAAGGGAGCAGATGGCTCTCTGACCCAGGCCTTTGTGTTGCTGGGACAGAGGAGGGGAGGTTGCCTCCTTACCGGTCGAGAGTAGCACCCCAACTGAGGGTGCACAGCCTGCTGGTAGGGCATCCTTGCCCATAGCTGTGGGTACAGGCCCTAGGGAGAAAGGGAGAAAGGCTTGGTGCTGCTGGGCAAGAACTCCCAGCCAGAGAGCAGCTGCCGGGCAGCTCCAGCCTGTGTCCCACACACTTGAATGTGAACAGGCGTTGAGTTTGTCATATCCCCCAGCTGGCCAGACCCATCAATGCCTGAAGCCAGCTGGGTCAGGTGAGGTCCACTCAACTCATACCACATGGAAAGCCCCTCTTAAGCAACATTTTTGGTGAGTGTTTAGGAAAGGGTTTCAAGAGCCTGACTAGTTCCTAGATCCCAGCCCAGTCCCTTAGTGGCTACTCTGTGATCTTGGGCAAGCCACTGTATCTCTCTGAATGTCTTTTTCCTTGTCAGCAGAATTTTGTGTGATCAGGTCTATAAAGCCTGTGAAAACAGCCAGGTTATCTCTGTCACTGTACGCATGCCTTTTCTGAATACGTTTCCCCAAGTCCATTATATCTTTAAGACACAAGCTGTTCATGTACACGTGTGTGTGTGTGTGTGTGTGTGTGTGTGTGTGTATGTGTGTGTGTTGGTTTGCAACCATGTTTGAGTACCTCTGCATATGTTTGCATCTATGTCTATTGCAGTCTTATGTGTCTGTGTACAAATGTGCAGCTGTGCCCCCATGAGTGTCTCTGGGTTTCTGCTACTGTGAGCCTGGGTGCCAGCACATACACCTGCATCTGCAGCTCATGGTGAGGGGTGGTGTGCAGATAAGTGTGTTCGTGCATCTGAAGAGCTGAGAACAGTGCCTAACACATAGTAAGGACTCTGTAAATGTTAGGTCTGTCTATCATCTCCCACTGCCCTCTCCCTCAAAAAGACTGCCTGGCAGCTCAGACCAAGGGAAATGGGAATTTTATTCACAACTCTAGGAGAAGGAGGGTGTCCTTGTATCCATACACTGACACAAGATACACATGCAGTGGAACTGCAGGTGGGGATGGGCTAGCCAAAGACCCCTACCATCTCCAACCATGCCTCTACCCTGCCAATCAAGAGTTTGCCCTACACCTGCACACCCATGTTTATTGCGGCACTATTCACAATAGCCAAGTTATGGAAACAGCCCAAGATGCCCCATCACTGACGAATGGATTAAGAAAATGTGGTATCTATACACAATGGAATTTTATGCAGCCATGAAGAAGAACGAAATGTTATCATTCGCTGGTAAATGGATGGAATTGGAGAACATCATTCTGAGTGAGGTTCGCCTGGCCCAAAAGACCAAAAATCGTATGTTCTCCCTCATATGTGGACATTAGATCAAGAGCAAACACAACAATGGGATTGGACTACGAGCACATGATAAAAGCAAGAGCCCACAAGGGAGGGGTGAGGATAGGTAAGACACCGAAAAAATTAGCTAGCATTTGTTGCCCTTAATGCAGAGAAACTAAAGCAGATACCTTAAAAGCAACTGAGGCCAATAGGAAAAGGGGAACAGGAACTAGAGAAAAGGTTAGATCAAAAAGAATTAACCTAGAAGGTAACACCCACGCACAGGAAATCAATGTGAGTCAATGCCCTGTATAGCTATCCTTATCTCAACCAGCAAAACCCCTTGTTCCTTCCTATTATTGCTTATACTCTCTCTTCAACAAAATTAGAGATAAAGGCAAAATAGTTTCTGCTGGGTATTGAGGGGGTGGGGGAGAGGGAGGGGGCGGAATGGGTGGTAAGGGAGGGGGTGGGGGCATGGGGAAGAAATGACCCAAGCCTTGTATGCACATATGAATAAAAAAAAAAAAAAAGATTTTGCCCTAGGGTGAAGTTCAAAGTCCAAAGTGTCTCTCAGCCAAGGACCTCTTCCCAGAGCATTCTACACCCAAGATGCTGCTGCCATGCTGGGCTTGGCGTGGCTATGCTCAGTGGCTGACACTGAGCTCTTGCCGACTCCCTCAGCCTATGGGCTCTTCATGAAATGTTTGGGAGTGCCCCATCTGGAGCCTGTGGGGAAGTCCCCCAGCTCTCCTAGTGCCCTGCTGTCCAGGTCCCAAGAGAACACATTTTCTCAGATCCCCAGCCTGCTCTCTGCTCCTGAGCAGTGACACTTGAGCTCTTCCTGTGCTCAGGCTCTCCCACTTCCACCATCTGTTGCCTGACACCAGCTCCCTGAGCCCCACCACCACCCCACCCCAAGCCCTACAGCCTGGGGCAGCTTCGCACACCATTATGACCCTACCTTTTTCTGAACTTGGCCTATTCCCAGTCCTCAGTGAGCTACAATACTACTGGACAGGTTGAAAAGGGCCCCTTCCCTTTTCGGAGCCTTTTTGGCTCCGTTAGCACTTAGCCTTCCATGGCCAGAAAGAATGAATCCAGGCCAGAGAACAGCAGGCAGGACTCCACTCCCACTCCTCCCAATGCTAGGCCATCCTGGGCCAACCCAGCACCATCCTTGCAGGAGATGGGGCCCTGTTCATCAGTATGAGCAACACCATCTGACTTCAGGGACAGTTCCAGTTGTTAGAATTGCGGTTTTATAAAATCACAGCAACTCTCATTCTTCTTCGCTTGAGGCTGTGGCCTTCCCCCACAAGGCCTCGCTCTTAATCTGGAGCTGCCTTCATGCCAAGCAGACCAGTTGCTACCTGGGCACCTCCATGTTGGGGACTTTGCCTTCCCCATCTCTGAGTCCCTCCACCATGGAGCTCTGAGAAAATGGGATTTGGGACCTCATCTTTATTCCTAATGCCAAGCAGGGAAAAGACTAGGATAGACTAGTCCCCTCAAGGTCTGCAGAGCTCCTTGACCCTTTTTTCTTGGAAAACCAGGGCCGCATGTTAATAAAATCCAACATCTGTATCACACTTTAGATTTTACAGAGTCCTTGCCCATGCATGAGCTCAATTATCTTTTTTTTTTCAATTATCTTTACAACCAAATCAGTCTATTCTGCTGCCACTGCATAGAGTAGTTAACTAATCTGCCCAAGGCTGCACAGCTTGGAGGCATCAGAATCCTAACACTAGTCCACTGATTTCCAAATCTGCTTTCTCCCTATTATTTCAGGCCTCTTGATCAGCTCTTGTGAAGCCAGGTAGCATTATGGATGGTGAGAAGCTGTGAGAAGATGAATTATGCTCTTTTGCTATTGTCTGTCAGCTGGGCCCGTTCAGTTCTAAACTGCCTCACAGAACCCAGCAGGGCCTCCAAGCCAGAGCCTTTTCACCCCTTCTGCCCAGAAGCTGGGGAATGTCGCCATAAACAACCCTACAATGTAAACAGGGGAATTTCATACTCAGAAAATGCATCCAAATCTTACCCATCCCAAAAGGTCAAGTAGCAGAAAGATACCATCCCCTCTTAATACAGCAAGCCATTGCAATTAGTTTTACATGGTGAGCTCTACACACGCACTTTGGAGAACGTGCGTTTACATTAAATAAAATGACGCAATTGCTTCTTTAGAGCTGGAGGTGCCTCTGCTGGCCCTTGATTTACTCCTGATCTTGTACTAGATTCCTGGCTTCTTTGTCATCCTTGAATCTCCTCACCTAGCACAGTGCTTGGCCTGTAGTAAGCATTGAGCAGAAGTTTTTAAATTACTTAAATGAATGAGTAAATAAATAAAGAGAAATGAGTAAGTCACTGAGAAGATGAATAAATGAACAGTCAGTAAATGAGCCCAAAAATGCAAGGGTAGAAGAATACTGGTGAAGGAGTCTGAGTCAATGAACAGGAAGACACATCTCTCAAGGCCTATGTAAAGATACTGTTACTAATATGAAACTTGATGCACTTTAATTTTCCCCTTAGGTCACCTTTCATTACAGTCTCTCACCTCAGTGGTGGGGCATGAGGTTTTTCATACCTGGGGAAAACAGGTATTTGTTCTCTTTAGCAAATAAACAAGCTTGAACACAAAACTGAAAAAGAGACTTTGCTAAATTCCTTTAAGATTCAGGAGCTGAGCCTGGTGGACCAACTCAGAGAGTGTTTATGTGGAGTAGAGAGGATTCCCTTTCTGCATAGGACATCTAAGCCATAAGGTTGTCACTCTGCTGTGAAGGAGGAAAGGACACAGGACACCAACGGGCAGGGGAATGGGAAGCGAAATGGGGGAAGACAAAGCTGAGTGCCTAGCATACTCTTTCTGTTTCCCCTTCCCAGGTTTTGTAGGGCCAGGCTGGGAGAGTAGGTGAAAGTCCTGGATGCACAGGTCTGAGTTCCTACACTTGCCCATAAAACTACCGTGCCATTGTGGAGAGGATTCAGGAAGGGGAACAGAACACTGAGAAATCTTAGATGCTGAGCATCTCTCCTGAAGAAAACTGAGCACTACCTACAGGGACTGCTTAAGTTATTGGATTGGACAAAGGCTTAAACAAGAGTGGACATTTATTTGATTCTTCCCTCCTACTACCGAGCAGGCGGCGGCTCTTAAGGGATATTAAGTTAAATGAGAAAATAAAGGAACTGCATTTCCCCTGCATAAGGAAGTTCTGTGAGTAAAATTTCAAATCCTGCTACAAGTGTTTCACCATCTGTTTGTGTCTGACCACTAATTCCCCTGCAGCCAGGAACCCCAGACCAAGACTGTGCCCAGCTCCTTAGATGGTACAAGCTAAGATTGCTTGGGTATAGCTTAAAGGAGGAAATTGTCATAATTTGCCATCCAAACAGGATATCTGGGACAAAAGACCTAATCTGGGACTGCCCCCAAGTAACTTAGGATATATGCCATCCAGCTTTAAAGGGTGTCACAGGAAGCAGACAGAAAACAAGGGCTGTGCCAGCTTCCTATTCTGGGAGTCCAAGCACTTAACCAGCCAAGACCAGCACAGGGCTCTGGAATAAACAGCACGGTGTGAACTGGAGTTCCAGGCAATGCATAATTAGAACTACCTGTGCATGGTCACCATGCAGACACCAACAGGGGAGCTCACAAGTTGATAGTGTTAAACTGTCATTCCCATGAAGCCTCTGGAGTTAGGGATGGCGTTCATGTCTGAAGGCTCTTTGTGAAATGGGCTCCCTTCCAGTCACATCTCCACCTTGGCCAGAACCCATACAGTGGCCAGAGGGAGACACAGGGTCCTCTTGCTCACCTGATATTGGTAGGTAGAGTGACTCGTGAACACTGGCACAGGTGGGCAATTCAGGTGGAGCCAGAGTGGCTGGTTCCGGGTTGTTGAGGTCAAGGCGGTAGCAAAGCGTGGGGTGAAGACATTCCCTGTGTACTTAAGGTTGTTCTTGTCCGCAGTGGTTGCAGGTGGGTTAACTGCAAGTCACAGGAGAGGGAAAGTGGTCAGTCACGGAGGCAGGGAGAGGCCAGGATGCCTCTTTCAGGCCACAAATGCCCAGAGATTCGTATTCTCAGGGGTCAAATCCTTTAAGCCAAGCGTGTCCTCAAAGTCCAGATGAACTTCCAGTCACAGGAAAACTTTATTAATTCACAGCCTTGGCAATTTGGAAGGGCTGGAAATCCCAACAGGGCCTGTTCAAGCTTCTCTTTTTATC